TAGCGGAATGTTAATAGACGATGTATGGAAGCACGTCGTGCATAGAAATAAAAGAACAATGTTACGCGACCGCGAATGTTAATTGTACGCTACAAAACAATTTTATCGTTTATAGACTAAAGAGGGGCGGGCGAAAACTGTAAACTGCCGGGCTGCAATTTTTAATTATATTTCAAATTTACTTAATTTAAAATGTGAAATTAGAAGTGGCTTGTCCCTGCACAACATACTTTTCCTTTAACAACCAAGTCGTGCCGGTCACCTAGCTAACACCTTTCGGAGAAAAATTTTCTACTGAAATAACGTGACTTGCGGTTTGCATCGGAATTCCTGTATATTTAATCGTGGCCTCCTTCCCCCTGGATTTTGATATCTGATCTCGTCTTTCGCCTATCTAAGTTCGTTCTCGGGATTAATGGAAGACAGCCGGACAGACGGCGACAGTGGGGATTTATAGGTTTACAATGTTTTAAATCGCAGCCCGATGACACCGCACATTTCGTTGGCATGCAAATACGATAAGTGAAAGAAGAGCAAAGAAGAAAGCGACACCAGTGTTTAGGGATAGAGAAAATTTTGTTGAAATAAAAAAATTGCGGATTGAAAAATTAGTTTGAAAACGAGTTTTTAAATACTGTATTAATAGAAATTTGAATGCAGACATTCGTTACTGGATGGCGATATAACTACGAAATGTAATTTTGGGAATAGGAAATCTAAGACGATTTATGGAAGAAACGATGCGCTTTTAAGAAATTCGTAGGAGGAAAACGTTCCAGACGGACCTGAAATAAAAGTTTCGAAATTCGAGAAGCCGTTTTTATAAATAAATGGTTTAAACTTGTAAAACACACACCAGCAATAAACGTGCATAATTATTAGTAAAAGCCAAAGGTCAACAATGAACAGATTTTTGCTTGTTGCTTACAATCTATAATACGACAGGCATCCGAGCCCCTTTGCTCGGCGGGGGGTTCCTCGGGACAATTGCCCGCTCGTTGGGCGGATCCGGCGCCCTGCGCTGAACCCGCAGTTGGTCGATTACATCCGGATTAAGATACGGATTCCGGTTTCGCTTTGCAGACCCCTTTGTTAGCAGGGCCGCTCTCCGGGGCATATCCCGTTCTTGAGCCGCCCAACGGGCCCCCTTCGGGATTTTCGCTTTATCGGCGACCCTGGGGCCCACTGTCCCGTTGGAAGAACGCCTTCGACCCACAAATAAACCAAAAATAGAAATAATATAAACACGAACCATGCACCGGACTGTGTTCTAGTCCGTCGTTTCATTTTTTTTACACACACACACACACACACACGCTTCTCGCACTTGCCAACCAACTTTTTTGGTCGACAACCATGTAACCCCTGTTCAATCCCCTAAAATACCCATTTTTATTGTAAAAATCGTCATTTAACCTTCAACAATGCAAACGACAATGTATTTCGTAACAACGATAACAACAATAAAAAAATTAAATTTACTCTTCTATTCCGTACAAATATATTTATTTATTTATTCATTTTCGTGGCCAAATTATGCAAAGATTAAGCAAATATAATTACCTTCGACTTAATTCTCCCACTACTTCTTTCAAACTTTACTCTATTCCTTACATCTTACTAGTAAAATTTTATATAATGTCCTTTATATAGCAGCGTAGACTCAAAATTTGTATATATGTATAATTTTTGGCATAACACACACGGCATTTTTAATTTAAGTATCGTCTACACCGAAATATCACAGGACATTTTTCATTAACACGCTACTATTAAACAAAATGGAAACTCTACAAAGCTATTGAAGAAGAGTTGAAAAGTAAAATGCGTGCTTCGTCAAACACTTTTAGGATATTTTAAACTTTCCTACAGTTTATAAAAGTTTTCATTGCGTTAATATAAATTATATATTGATTGTGATGATTACTCTTCTATCGCCTACTTCTTTTAGACTGTGTTTCGGCCATTACGATTCTACTAACCGCGCATTTTACTTGTATTCTGAATAGGCAATATTTCTCTCTCCGGTGTTAGCTAGGTATGGATTATATAGTGCGACAGTCACCCTTAAGTTGCTGGATTGATTTGCCCACGTCGTTATTTCGTTGGTGGAAGCGCCTGTCGTTTTTACGCCCAGTGCGGAAAAACTTTAAATCACACTGTGGCGTTGCCCTATTTCGTCAATCGCTTTGGATAGTAACCACAGAGAAAATATACAGCTTAAATCAGCTTGTTTTCTTGTATTTAACAATGTAAGATACACCATTTAGAAGATTTAAAATAATATGATATCATATTAGATTATTTTTCCAGCTATAAATTTTAACTCTTATAGTGTGATATAAGTAAATGGAGATAACTTCGAAAAAGTCGAACACCGCAACTAGAGATATTCCCAACCAAATTCCTATAAAACCACCAATGTAGCTGAATAATTCGATTGACTGAATAAAAAATAAATTATATATTATTAGTAAGAAAATTGTATTATTTTATAAGTTTCGTAAGGTTATACTAACCTGAAATTTAGGTTTATATTCATGTATAATCAGTTCTGAATTCTTGAAAAATAAATTTAACACTGAGTACGGTTTACTGTAAGAAAAAAATNTGGTTGGCTTCATAATAATATCTATGTGACCGTAGGGTGGTGTCTCTTTGACACCACATCAGGATGTGACACCAGACTCAGAAATCGCGACGTTATGTCACGCAAGCGGTAGCGGGTGAGCGGTTGGATTCGGAGTAGAGGTGAGGAGAGAGACAAGGAAGTGACTCACTCGGACTCCATAGTAACAAATAAATAACAATTTTAATTATAACAAAAGAAAATACAGATATACTCGATATCAAGCATGACTAACGTTCCCGTTAATTCTTACTAGCCCGTTCGAGAAAGGATTTACAACCGAATCGCGGGTTGATAAATACCTTCTTCGGAGTTGAAGATCCGTAGTACGATGACGCCGCTGAGGGAATGTTCGCCCAAATTCTTGTCCGTTAACAGGAGCACGGAGATGTGGAGACACGGAAGTGGGGATGAATCCTTAAAGAAGCACGGTGTTACTTCTGTCACGGTGTTACTTCTGGATTCTGGTGCACGGGTTTTACGTCTGGATTCGGGTTCACGGGTTTAATCCTTGAGGACGACTTTTGTGGAGGGATTTTGGGTGGTTTGTTTTCGTTTTACCTTGTTATTCCTCGTGGGCTTTTCCCATGAGGTCGGGCGGTTGTTAAGGGTCTGGCGTCCAAAGTGGGCACTTTATCGAAAGTTCCGGATGACACATCACTGACTAGCTGGATCCTCCTCAATAAGGAACCAACTCCGTGGGAAAAAATTTTTATGGCTTTTAGCCTAACTTGATAAAACGCTCGAAGTTAAGAATTTCCCAATAATTAAAGTTTAAAATAACACTTTATTGTGGGTCTGTTCGTCCCTCACAGCGAGCAAAATTTCAAATCTTATCTTACATTACATATTTGATGAAGATAAATTTAAAAAGTATCAGGAAATGACTAGTATTTACGAATGTTTACTCTACGAGACCATTAGATGTACAGTACTAACCTCGAATCAATCTGCGACACGTTTAAGCGGACTCTTGAACGTTATTGCTAAGCATTAAACAGCCTGGTCGAGTCGAAATTTTGACGCATCGCTACGCTCTGTAAAACGTTACGCAATATCTCAAGATTATTTGATATCTCGGTTGGTTTCCAGGTCGACGATTGACCGACAGTCAGTAGGATATTCCTTTCAAAAGTAAACAACGGCAACATTGCCTTGTTCTGTACAGAAGACGAGTGCGATGTGGTATTTGACTAATACAATAGCCAGCCCATGACGGTATTTCTATTGGTACTTTATGTTGGGATAGACGTTTGGAGAGAGTTTTAATCACGTCACCGTGGCGCAATAGGTTCGTGCGTTCGGCTGTTAACCGAAAGGTTGGTGGTTCGATCCCACCCGGTGACGAATTAGCGGATAGAGAGGAAATAATTTTTTCTAATTGTTTTTTGCGGCTTCGTGTTTAAAATCTTCGTTGGCAATGCAGGCACAGATACGCTAAACTGAATTTTTGCAAAATTGACGTCCGAATTCGATGCCTTTGCTTTCTTATTAAATAATTTAATTGTGCGTTTAAAACAACAAAACGTACGATTAAATGAATTTGTTGAAAAAGTCATTTTGACTAAATGCGTTAAAAGCACATTGGACAAAACAAAACTCCGACAGCGTGCATCGGCGGGGAATCGAACCCACCATTGAACCACCGATGCTTGTCACTTAAACAACTGACCATTACTTCTGTACCAATCTCGATGACGTTTGCTTGATAACAGTTTACGCTTGAACTTTCGAACTGCTGTAAGAAAGGACGGAAAAATTTATCGCATTAAATTAATTTTACTGATGTGTTTCGGATAAGAGGAAATCGCTGCATCGCTTAGCGAGCCGTCTTAGTGGATGGATGGTTTCAGAGTGAAATGACGTTGGTGGAAAGTCACTGACGAGTTTACGTCGAATTCCTTGTAGGAATGACGGCACGAAGAGCGTAGTTTAACGGAAGAATACTCGCTAATCAAGCGCTGGATTTTATTTAGGTGTTACTAATGTTAAAAAAAACCTTGCTATGTTAGATGTGGAGCATTAAATATTAGTGGTATAGGCTATTTACAGACTTAGAGAATGTTTATTTTAAGCAGGCAAATTTTATATGCTGCTTATTGAAGTAATGATTTTCTGAATAATTTTCGTCATTTTAAATATAATTGTAAATTGTAATAGTAAGGAGTACATTACGTTATTTATTCACAAAAATACTTAGATATTTATTTATTTAATAAAAAAATAAAATAAACATTTTATTATTTATAAAAACAAGGAACTTTAGCATTCCACAAATGCTAAATATCTGTAAGAACACAAACTTAATACGTATATACTGAAAGACAACTATACATATATAACTAATTACAGTTCTGATTTAGTTTCTAGTAGAGAATTTCTATTTGATTTATTTTTAGTAGGGATTTTCCCCTTTGAAATATGGTAAAAATAAGTAAACAGTGTTTCTATAAAATCGCAAACAGCAATCAGAGATATTCCGAGCCATATACCTATGTAACCACCTATATAACTGAACAACTCGATCAGCTGTAACAAAATAAAACACGTTATGTATGTGAAAGTTTGATTGGTATACATATAAAGATAAATAACATAATATTAATTGTACTTACTTCGAATTGAGGTTTATATTTGTATATCAAAAGTTCTGGTCGTTTGAAGAAAAAATTTATAGAGGAAAACCAAACTCTTAAATAAAACACGAAAAGTTATAATTTATATTAAATGACAATACTTTAATTTCTATACTAAATTCTTACTTTTCGGGCTTATACTTGTTAAAATCAGAAACATTCAGTTCCTCAACTTTAATCAGAAAAATTATATCTTTAATTAATAAATATAATATAAATAAGTTTTCTCCTTATTATTATTTTTTTAAAATTAACTTACGCATCAGTAATAACAATTCTTTATTTTCTAATGGAACTTCGTCTATTTCGTATTCAAAAAACATAGATCTAAAATACATTAAAATTTTATGAAACTAATAAAAATTAACGTTCTCCTTTTTTAATCATAAAGTAAAATAAAGGAAATTAAAAACTAATACTTACTTACAACTAACTTTACATTTGTCATAGCAATCATAAACAGCCGCATTAGTAATACAATTAACTTCAGCTACAAAATAAATTGATTATAAGCAAATAAAAAATTGTCTAAATAAATAACAAGACTGGACAATTACTATACTTACATTGATTTAAACAGAATTTTCCATCGAAATGATAAGCATATTCTCCACTTACGCATCCACATTCTTTTATCCATTTTTCTTTTTTACACTCAATTAAACAACGCTATATAGAAATATAAAATTAGTAAAATATATATATTTTTTTAATATAAATTACACACATAATGAAAGACTTCGCTACTTCGTGATTATTTTCAGTCTGTTCCTTCCCTTCTGGTACTTCGTAAATCGTGCAGTTCGTACTGTAAGGAGAAGCTAATAGATTCTCTTCTATCTGAAAATATTCTTTATTTGTTTACATTAAAATAACATTGGAAAGTAAAATATCTATTCAAACTTACGGCCTTTAATTGAACGACGTATCTCATTCCTGGTTTAACTAGAAATCCATCGACAAAAGGATTAATAAGTTGATGGTGAGAATGAATTGAAATTTTAGCACCAATAGGGACATTCGGTAAAAACGATTCTTCCGGATTAAATGTAATAATCAAATTTCCTATCGTTGTTCCCTGTATCACTGAAATTTATTTTTCTTTTATATTATAAGAACGTTACAACGTTATTAAAAAGTTTCGCTTAAATAACTAACTCGTTATTACAGTTTGAACCGTAAAGTACTGTACTGTACTTACTGTGCATTTCATAAAATCTATGACGAGAATCTTCTAAAGAATTTGTTGTGTCGAATTTGTGTAAATCGACGGAATAACAATTCCTCAATTTTCCAAATTCGTTTCCAAAAATAATGTGATTTGTTTCATTGCTAGAAGGAAAAGACAGTAAAAATTTTTTTAAATTGAGAATTGATGTTGTAATACACATTGTTACACGTATATATGCTTTATTAAGGTATACTAAATGAAAATTTAATATTATGCAATGAATAAATATATATGGACTTGTATTTAAGTTATTAAATTGTATACTTTTCATTAAAAATTAATTTTTACTTCCAAAACTAATTCACAAAACAGTAGAAATAGATCTCTTATATGAAAACAATACGATTTTATCTCATTTATCTCTGTATAGTCGGAATGATCAATTTAAGCATATAGGCCTTTATATTGGTTTATATAAAGGTCTATATGTAAATTGTAATAAAACTGTAGAAATCGTCGGAAAGCATTGTATTCACAGAGGAGGAGAAGGGTCAAATGACACATAAGATTTACTTTATTCCTCCCTTTTTCTTTAGAGTTTTTTGAATATTATTAATCCTAGAAAGCAATAGTATTTATGTAAGAATAAATTTATTTTATTAGTGATTATTTTTAAATAACTACAGTTTGTATGGACGAGATGATGCCTTTAGTTACCCTTTAAGCCTTATACAAGTAAATATTGCAAATGACAATAACGAGTAAACTCTTCATTACTCTTCATTAATTTCAACCTCGCTCGAGATATGACATATCACTTCTCTCTATCTCTCCACCCCATCGATTTTCAACCGCCAAAATTTAATACCATCGATGTCTTTATATATAAGTTACAAAATCTTCAAAATCAATTTTGAAATAACATTCAATATAGAATAATTTGTATTAATAAAAAAACCAGGACAACAATTAAGAAAGACGTTGAATGCATTTAATAATAATAATAATAATAAAGCCTGGGAACATTACAATTGAATAGAAATACATACATAACACTACAGAAGGCCACTATATTGAATACATGCCATATTGTTAGGAAATTTTTGAATACAGACACTGATACTGACACATTTAATCTTAGTTCTGTTTTGGATGCTATGCCTTGACTCTAGTCCGGCATAGTACATAGCCACTGATGTAAACCGAGTATAACCCACTAAACCCAACACAATAATAATAATAATAATAATCTACTAGAATAAAATAACGATTTTTATATCATATTTCTTTATTCGATAAAAGCAATGCTAACCTGTATATGTTAAGTATATCCTCTTTTCGGACTCCATACTCCTCGACAACATTTCGATCAAAATCAGAGAATATAAAAGTCTCATATGTTGGAAACTGAAAAATTATGAAAAGTTTTAACTATTATCAATATATTAAAAA